ATTTATAAATGAGGTAGATAACATTGATTTTGACCAATTGTTTCCATTTGGTAAAAATAATTTCGTATCGTCTGATTTGCCAGCAAGAAGTGATTTCTCAAAGGTTCCGGTGGAGTAGGAAGAGGTGGCAGTACAATTTTTCCTGATGCACAACACATACCGGTTGTTTCATTTCGGAATTTCAACGCGTGACAATATTGGCATATTTTATTCATCGCACCAATTGTAATCTTCGAATGTGCAGAGTAATTAATGTCTGGTTCATACTCGAACGCAAGGCGAAAGAATGATGCACGTGTTAATGCGTGACTGGTTTGTTGCCTCGTTCTTTCGAGTTCTCTAAATCTGGCTATATTCTGTTGTCGCGCAGTTCTTGTCCTTAATACATTTTGTCGCAGGCGTTCTTCATGCTGTTCTTGAGATTCTTGTCTACGAATTTCTGCTGTTCTAATTCGTTGAGCTGCATTTCTTGCTGCAGTTTCTTCCTCTGATTCTCGAGCTCGCAGAGCACGCTGGAGTCGTGCCTTTCTGCTACATGCATTATCGAGGTTAGATTTTTTCCGCGGCATTATTCTGAAATTGAAAATATTTATAATTGAAATAAATAAATAAATTAGATCGAAATTAATAAATGGATTAATTAACAATTATCAGACTAAAAAATAAAAATAAAAATTTGGTTGACAATAATTAATTTTTATGATTGAATAGAAAATTGTTAAAATATTAATAAGTTAAAAAGAAAAAATGCACGTTTATAAAGTTAAATCAATTCATCAATCAATTCATGAGTGCGTTTTTTTTATTTTCATTTATTTATTATTAAAAAATGAATATTATTTTGCGAAATTTACACTCATGAAGTAAATAAAATAAAATGCAAGCAAGAAATACTTACATGTGTATAAAGTTATGATTTTGCACTGATTGATACTTTCAGAGGTTATATACTTGGTAAATGCACAGGTATATTTACGTAGAGACTCACACAGAGAGTAGTACTAAACGTGCACTGAGATCCTACTGAGACTAACACTTTCCTGGAGATAGTATTAAATCCACTCGTTTAAAAAGAAACTGAACTGCAGTGATACTCGGCGCCAGTATTTATACCTGGATCTTGAATTTCCCGAACGTTCTAGTTCGCATGCTTCAAGAATCGATTGATCGATTGTTTACGCTCAGAGGAGGTTTCGAGAACGAATGAGATACCAAAGCTTCGGACATTCAACCTGAGATGGCGACTCGATATAATTTGATGGCGCGATCTTTAAACTTTGATTAAAATTTGGCGCCAAGACTTTATTAAAATTCTCTAACAAAAATAGTACATTTTTTTTTTGTTATTAATGGTAATCTTAAATATATATATATATATATGAAATTTGAGTCACGATGTATGTTGCCAATAAACTCCAAAACTACTGAACCGATTTCAATTTAAATTTCACATGTACCCGTATTATATTATCTTACAATATTATAGCTTTTGCCCGCGACTTCGTCCGCGTGATATAGTTACTTTGGGCAACATATATTTTCCAAAAACGCTGTTGTTTTTTGAGCTAATGATGAAATTACCTTGATGTTTAAGTTCGAAGATAGTACAACAAAAAAAAACCAACAATGTCCAATATGTTTCAGCGCTTTATCTTTGAAACTTTAGATATATTAATCCAATTCATGAATTTAAACGAGTGGATTTAATACTATCTCCAGGAAAGTGATAGTCTCAGTAGAATCTCAGTGCACGTTTAGTACTACTCTCTGTGTGAGTCTCTACGTAAATATACCTGTGCATTTACCAAGTATATAACCTCTGAAAGTATCAATCAGTGCAAAATCATAACTTTATACACATGTAAGTATTTCTTGCTTGCATTTTATTTTATTTACTTCATGAGTGTAAATTTCGCAAAATAATATTCATTTTTAATAATAAATAAAAAAAAAAATAAACGCACTCATGAATAAATGATTTAACTTTATAAACGTGCATTTTTTTCTTTTTAACTTATTAATATTTTAACAATTTTCTATTCAATCATAAAAATGAATTATTGTCAACCAAATTTTTATTTTTATTTTTTAGTCTGATAATTGTTAATTAATCCATTTATTAATTTCGATCTAATTTATTTATTTATTTCAATTATAAATATTTTCAATTTCAGAATAATGCCGCGGAAAAAATCTAACCTCGATAATGCATGTAGCAGAAAGGCACGACTCCAGCGTGCTCTGCGAGCTCGAGAATCAGAGGAAGAAACTGCAGCAAGAAATACAGCTCAACGAATTAGAACAGCAGAAATTCGTAGACAAGAATCTCAAGAACAGCATGAAGAACGCCTGCGACAAAATGTATTAAGGACAAGAACTGCGCGACAACAGAATATAGCTAGATTTAGAGAACTCGAAAGAACGAGGCAACAAACCAGTCGCGCATTAACACGTGCATCATTCTTTCGCCTTGCGTTCGAGTATGAACCAGACATTAATTACTCTGCACATTCGAAGATTACAATTGGTGCGATGAATAAAATATGCCAATATTGTCACGCGTTAAAATTCCGAAATGAAACAACCGGTATGTGTTGTGCATCAGGAAAAATTGTACTGCCACCTCTTCCTACTCCACCGGAACCTTTGAGAAATCACTTCTTGCTGGCAAATCAGACGATACGAAATTATTTTTACCAAATGGAAACAATTGGTCAAAATCAATGTTATCTACCTCATTTATAAATTTGAGTTTTTAAATATTATCAATTAATTTTTTGTATATATTTTGTAAAGAAGTCATTGTTTATAAAGAATAGTTAAAGATAAGAAAAATAACATCTACATTTAATAAATTATAGTTTGAAAAAACTAAAAAAATACACGCTTTTGAAACTGATTGAATTAAATATTTCAAAATAAAACTGAAGTACTCAATTGAAAAATTCATATTGTTGTACAAAAAGCGTGGGGGGGCTTGATTTTCATTGCTGTAAATATTTTAACGATAGTTTAGTATACCTGTAGTAATTATAATAATCACCCCACGCCTTTTTATACAACAATATGAATTTTTCAATTGAGTACTCCAGTTTTATTTTCAATTTAGCTAATTCGATTTTAGCGGAAGGGTTTTATTTCCTCAGTTGCGATTAGAGAAATAAAATATGGCGGTACGAATTTAATTAAAATAAAATTAACTACTGATATTATTGTGTGGCAATTTGGGGATATTTTATTCTAGCTACTCTTTTAAAAACAATACTTTGTGTCTTGTGACTTCTATATAAGTTAAGATAAATAAAGCACCTAGATAGTAGCACCTAGGCTTTAATCTTAATATATATAACTCAAAGGTGACTGACTGACATAGTGATCTATCAACGCACAGCCCAAACCGCTGGACGGATCGAGATGAAATTTGGCAAGCAGGTAGATGTTATGTCGTAGGCATCCCCTAAGAAAGGATTTTGATAAATTCCACCCCTATGGGATAAAATAGGGGATGAAACTTTATTCCAGGTATTTTACACGACTAATTAATGAATAAATATTTGTTTGGAAAGCTGCTCAAAGTAACTTTACCACGCGGACGAAGTCGTACAAATAAACTAAGAATGATCAAGATAAACATTATAACTAATTTCCAATAACCCTAAAACCCAAAAATTACAATGAATATTTTCCTATGAAATTGCATCATAAAACGAAATCCCAAAAATAACTAATGTCCAAATTCACTATGGAAACATGTAGGTTATAAAAACAATGTAAAAAACAATAACAACAGACAGTAAATACAACGCAGTTGTACATCTGTTCTTTTAACCATTGGTCATTTGCTTAACCTAGCTTCCAGTGATGGTTAAATTTTTTGACCAATGGTTGGAATTCTGACAATTGGTTAGGCTAACTATTAATCAAAAAACATATTTTTCTACTATTTATGAGTGTATGAGTTAACCACTGATCAAAAAACTGGCCCTAAAACTGACATGTGAAACGTAAAAAAACTTAAATTTATTGAAAATAATCAGTTGAGATTTTGTACTCTTCACAATTCAGAAATTGGTTGATAGAGTATCTTTCAAAACAAAGAATTATTATTTATTTATTTATAAAATTTTTGGAAGACTTACAGGCTATACAATGAAATATCTTATAAAACTATAATAAAGACAAAAAGCCAATTAAAAGTCCCCACCATTAGTAATCTTCCAACATTAGTCTAGTTCATATGCGGCGACTGTAAACGTTTAATTGACATGCTACGAACTACTCGTCTTTTTATTTTTTTTAATTAGCTTGTAAACCAAAAATATTTTGATAACTATGTTATAAAATAGTACACGGTTAATGCATGATTACATTGTACTGTTCACATTGGTCATTCTAAAGTTGTAATGCTTGATTATGGTGTTAGCTGCAGGTTACCAGATGGATGGTATTTGTCTGGATTGTCCCGATATTTCGGATGATGTCTGGATATGTGGAGAAAGAAGGAAATGTCCCCAAGAGAACTTGAATAATTGAAAAAGCGACATTTTTAAAAAGCTTCAGTCGCATGTTGAAATCTATATTATGTCTAGCCAAATAATATAGTTACGTCTCTAGTTTATTATTGTAAATAAACTTAAGTTTACTAACTGTATTAAAAATATAGTGTGGTTAAAATTAAAACTTAGATGATCAAAGCGCAGGCGTTTGAGAGCTCTATGACCTAACAATATCACTGTTGTGCTGAGAATTTCTTATGTCGAGAACCTTCTACTTCAGGATGAAAATGACTTGTGTCTAAGAATAACAAATTGTATTTTTTACAGTTAGTAACAAGATGTATGAACGTCTCTGCCGTAGTCACCTCGCATTCACCGTGGGCGATCCGAAAAATACTAGACTGCACAAAACATTTAATTTACGATTTAATTACACATATTCAGTGTTTCTACAAAGGAATAGTTCAAGTAAATTTGTTTAAAGACTGTTATTATTTTTAACAGGAACAATCAGGCTTTACCGTCTGGCGGGACAGGTCACAGCGGTGGGTCTCAGGGCAAGGACCCCCTGGCCCCCGCTCTGCCCGGGTCCCGCACGCTTTACCAACATCCAGGAGTCGCCGGGTACAACCCGCAAGACTCCCGAGCACAGCCGATGCCCGTTACTGTAAGTCATCAATGCTAAACTCTCGGGCAGTTTGCGGAAGGCTTTAATCACTTCATTCAGTAAAAGTAACGCCAATAGGAAGATTTGAATACTGGATGTTAATTGGAAGATATGAGCGTCATCTGATATAGTTAGAATATCTTATTATTTTAAATACTTGAGAATTGGTGCCAATTCTATTTTGCAACAAACTAAAAAAAACAATTTTTTTTTCGGGTTGAACTTCAGTGTTATTCTCTTGTCATGTGTCATCTAAGATATTTAATTAAACTCTTAAAATATAAGTTGTTAAGATGTAATATTGAAAACGTAATTGAGTATAGTTTGTGTCAACAATCCCCACCAGTATCCTGTTTTAAGATTTTCATAGTCAAAATAAATCAAAATCATTTCTGTGTAAGTTGTCACAAGTACTTGTGAAAGTTGAAACTATGCCATCGGCGACGGTTCATAAATCTATGGAGACCTTGTATCGAGAAGAACAGCCAAGACACTCGGCCAGGCCTGTTTTTTTCTCCCTGTTTTATTTAATACAGAGATGTCAAGATTCAGTAGCATGTTGACCTCTTATACATAGTACGGTAACATACAACTATTGTGGCTCGTTCATGTACTGGACAGAACTCACCAATATCCATATGTCTGAGTCCCGCTAAGTGTAAGTGAGACGAGTGTCTGATGCTTTGTAATTTCCTTATCTATACAAGGCTATCAATTTTAATCGTACGTTCGGCATTGTCCGTTTTGGTAGGTCTGCTCTGCGCAAACGGAAATTCACCATGCGCCATATTAGTCAGAACTTACTGTACATATTTTTGACTATGGAAAACAATGAAAAGGTATAAAACTATATAAAATTGAAATTGATATAGATGTGTCAAAAAAATCTCGTGGAAGTATAACGGAACAAATGCATATTTAAAAAAAAAAAATTTTTAGATGTCATTTCGCTTAAAAAACAGAAAGCATTTCATTGGAACGGCAAAATACAATTGCTTCAACAAAATATTTATCCATCCATCATTGAATAACCGTTCACGGCGCTTGGGACTAACACATGTGCATGTTAGATGTTATTTTGGGGGTAAAATGAGACAGAAGTACACCGACAGGCGCGGCAGAATCCGATGTACGCCAGCGGCATGTACCACGGGTATGGGCACGGCGCGGGCAGCGCGACCCTCGCACCTATGCCTTCGCCCTCACCCACCGCCCCACTGCCGCCCTTCCCCGTACATCCAGATGTTAAGTTCAAAAAGTGAGTTATAATTAGGGATGTCTAGAATATCCGAGACGGAAGAGAGATCTGTATCCATTATTTTATTCATGATCTAGAACGGATTTTCAGCATTATTTTACATTCGTATTTGAAATTAAGATTCTTCGATTACAGCAAGGTGACTTGTTACTAAAGAAATATATACTTTTAAATTCCATTTAAAATTTATTTTTATAAAGTTATTGAAATAAATTCAGAATTGCCAGAAAATTGAGATTTCATATCCTTATTCAGTATATTGTTTTAGTAATTTTTTTTTTGTTCTTTCCTTTCATTATTTTTTGAAAACTTGTCAAATATTTAATAGAAGTATAAATTGTTTATGAGCACTCCTATGCCTTGCAATTTTGAAGAGGGTTACATTTTATTTACAATTACAGGCTTCCATTCTACGACGTGCTAGCTGAACTAATGAAACCGTCTACCATGATGCCAATGCAAGCGGGCCGCATGCAGGAGGGCACGTACATATTCCATTTGACACCGCAGCAAGCCACGGAGATCGCTTCCGGCAAGGATATAGTCGGCACCAGTAACAAACTAGACTATGTCATACAGGTGAATTAGTGTAATAATTGTAATCTATGAGAATTTTTTGTGAAATATTTTCAATATGAATTTAAAACCACTTAAACAAGATAAAGAATCTCAAACAATATTTCAGAGTTGCAGAACATTTTTAGTTTGACATAGCATGTTTAATTTGCAAAGGACTATATGGGCTTATTTTAGTGCAATATGAAATAATATTATTAAACTTTACATTTTTATTTGTTTCAGGCACAGTTGAGATTTTGTCTTCTTGAAACTTCGTGTGAACAGGAAGATCACTTCCCACCTAGTGTTAATGTTAAAGTTAATAATAAAATGTGTCCGTTACCAGTAAGTATATATTTTTTTGTTGTATTTATTTAGATGATCTAGAAGATGTAGAATAGCGGCAAACATTTACGTATTGTGGTCCCAGTGCAGATGTAGCCAGGGTTCACGGCTTAACATGTCTTTCAAAGCACAGAGGATCGATTAACTTTCACTCTATCATTCTAAGACCTCCAAAAGGAATGCTTACTCATCAGTACCTCTATTTCAAAAGTTTCCTAAATTAGTACGTCACCTGATAGTGGTCTTTCTCGAAAGTGATACCTCATATGTGTTGTGCACATTACCAGAACCCGATACCGACGAACAAACCAACACCGGAGCCGAAGCGGCCGCCGCGGCCCGTGAACATATCGTCGTTGGTGAAGCTGTCGCCGACGGTGGCCAACACTATCCACGTGACGTGGGCGGCGGACTTCACGCGCGCCTACGTGCTCAGCGTGTTCATGGTGCGCAAGCTCACCTCCGCCGAGCTGCTGCAGCGGCTCAAGAACAAGGGCACCAAGAACCCGGACTACACGCGCTCGCTTAGTGAGTCACCTTCACCTTACTGTCTTATGATACCGACTGTTATTAGGGGTCATCCACGTCACACATTTAGTAGTCGATAAATAGGTGACAGGAGGGGGGGGGGGTGTTAAAATCCTGAATTTATGCTATGTCGCTGGAGACTCTAAAACTCGGACTAATAGCGCTGTCTCCACTAAACTGAACTATGACAAATTGTAATGCATTAATTCTTTATTGCGTCCTTCCTCGACGAACTGCTGCTCAAGAACCCTTACTGTTTTGTCAATAGACTTTTCCATCATCTCATTGTTCGTCATTTGCTGCATAGGCTCGAGAACTTGACTACCAGCAATATCTTCACTGAGCTGACCTTTGATCAGATGGTAATGTGACTCTCTTTTATTGTCGACGTACTGCTTCAAAGATTGAAGAACAAAACTCTCTCAGTAAGTCATATTACTGTTTTATAAAACTTGCTGTTCTTAACTACGTAAATCTCTCTCTGAGTTGCTGCAGATAAGAATCTGTCCTACAAGAGTTCGCTCAGTGAGTTATATCGTACAAAGGTCATTTTTAGGAAGGTCAATATCTGATGAACTGCTGCAAAAACTGAAGAACAAGGGTTTTTAAAAAATCCTGGCTATACACGTTTGCTCAGTGAATCTCATTACTGTTTTAAAACTTTTTTATCACGACTCACCTCACGAGCCGAATGTTATTTGGTGTGTATGATCGACTGCCGATACGGTGGTACCAATGCCTTAATGTACCTTCCTCGCCAACAAGGAATTCGAGATTGTATATTTTTGGCCTTTCATCCAATGACTGGTTTTTAAAAGTTGTTTTTTTTTTTTACCTCAACAATTGCAGAGCTTATTAACTGCACTATCGAGTTCCCAAATCTGTTTTAGCAATTTTATTTAAGGAAAGCTGGGATATATTCCGTCTCCCATGCAAGCTAAGAAGAAAAAGATTGTGATTGAAGATCTTTAAAACCATTACATTTTCAAGCAATCAGTCAATCAATTCGTTTTTGTTTGGCTTATGTATGACTAATGTAAAAAGATACATGAAGACAAAATTGAGCTTTGTGCCAATAAATCGATGCGAATGATCCCCATACTTAAACCAGATATGAATGTCATCATGTACATCTCGTTGTTACAGTTAAAGAGAAACTATCTGAGGACTATGACAGTGAGATAGCGACAACTTCGTTGCGAGTATCCCTGATGTGTCCGCTGGGCAAGATGCGGATGTCTTGTCCGTGTAGGCCCGCCGCTTGTCCGCACTTGCAGTGCTTCGACGCATCACTGTTCTTGCAGATGAATGAAAGGAAACCCACGTGGCTGTGTCCAGTGTGCGATAGGCCTGCGCCCTACGACTCGCTAGTAGTGGACGGGTGAGTTACAGTGAACTGTTTGTATTTAGGAATAGGATAAAAGAACAAGTGATAATTCCGAGGCTTTTGAAGACGTTTTTAACTTAACATAAAATGATAATTTTTGTTTATTGAGTAACATAGGTTAACAATGAATGTTTTGTCATTTTCACTTGATCCAAAAGCCACATTGGAATGATGTGAACAAAACTAAGTGTAACTAAACAACTATTCAACGCCATTAATTAAAAAGAAGAAGAAACAACTATTATATTATCTTTCTTATTAGCAAGGGTATAATAGGTTAAGAATAGCGCTTCCAATCTCGAAAAACCGAGATCTCGGGATCGCGCCTCTTTTCCCAATCCCGTGTTGTGATATTATCGGAGCGGGATACGCGGGATTTATGTGAATAGAAAAACGTGCACACGACCTCTTGCGAGCGATTACCAAACTAAATTATTTAATCTTCTTTTTATAACGATCTTACTTTTTCTATTCTTTCTAAATGGTGTTCCACGAAGTTCGTTCTAACCACGAAGAGAATGACGACAGTTCTCTGCAGCAGTACTTATAGTGGGTAGTATCACATCTAGAACAGCCAGTACAGCTAGTATAGCTAGCTGTATTGGAATTTAGATTTAATTGACAATAATATTCTTAAAAAAATACTAAACTTAAATAACATTGTTAGTGTATGAATATATTACAGAATATGTATATTTAAATAAGTTCAACACAAACTCCTTACTGAACCTTACCAATAACTCCATGAAAATTATTTAAGCCTATAACCTGGTTAATGCAATTTACCAAAATAAATTGGAAAAAAAAAATTTTTGTACAGACAATAAACCTGATTTAGTTTTTGTCGTTATATTTTTTATTCTAAATTCCCAACAAGAAAAATTATATCTCTGTAAATAACATTAGAGCGTCGATAATAACTTTTGTCAACATTCAGTTGAAAATGTTATTGGTTTATATTTTAATTTACTAGAAATACATTTTATAGTTGAAATATTTATTGTTTTTCGGTATTTATTTCACTTTTCATTGATTTATAAATGGTCTAATTTGATTAATCACACGCTAATAGTAAAATATATAAAAGTGGAGTTATGTTGGTTAATTTATTATTTGATTTGCCTTAAATAAATAATAATATTTTCTATAACCCGCAAATACCCGTGATTGAATACAGGCTGCGGGATTGAAAGCCCCCTAGTAAAGTCTTATAATATAATAAATTCATTTATTTACTCTTCACGTTAAGCCGTAGGCACGTTAAGCCGTTGGTCCCGGCTGCATTTGCAGTCGTTAATACCCTCCAATCCGCATTGGGCCAGCATGGAGGGTCATGGCCCATCCTCCTTAACCATCCATAAGGAAGGCCTGAGCCCCTGCAGTGGGGACGTAAAAGGACTGGTGATGACTCTTCACAATAGTTTTTATTAGAACAATATAGTAATTACAATTTTGATGTATTCATTTAAAAAACCCGTTACACGGGTCACTAGCACTCCTTCCCGCGGATATTAATACTACTACTTTAATAGTATCGAGGCTAAGACTACATTATTACAAAACAATCTACACAAAATAGACGCAGTTTCAGTAACTCCTAAACGATAATATTTACAGACTTCTTATGTTTAATTAAAAGAATTGGACAATAAGAAATCCTCATAATGATGAAAGAATAAAATCTTCATTATCATCGTTACCGTTTTATTACAATTGATTCTATACATGGGATATATATATATAATATATTGTAAATGAATGGAATGAGAAATGTAAAAAAAATTTGAGCTTGGCTTGTGTTACAAGATTGAACAGTGAGTACTACTGATTAATCCTTATAATGATGGAAGAATAAAATCTTCAGTATCATCATAATTCAATGTTTTCAGCCACTTCGTTTCCGTTTTATTACAATAGATTCTATGTATGGGATATATATAATTTATTGTAAATGAATGGACCGAGAAATGTAAAAAAAAATTGAGCATGACTTGAGTTACAAGATTGAACAATGAGTACCACTGATTTGATTGAAGTGTATGCGTATGATTGTCGGTATAGATATTTCCAAGAGGTGTTGACGTCGCCGCGCTTGGTGAGCGAGTGTAACGAGATCCAGCTGCACGCGGACGGCAGCTGGAGCGCGCACGCGCCGCCCGCCCGCGCCCCGCAACAGGCGCAGCCGCAGCCGGAGCCGGTCACGCTCATATCGGACGACCTAGGTGAGACAGCATCATTTTAACACCGGAGAAATGCAACCTTATGTCATAGCCCAGGGGTTCCAGGACATGTCAAAGTCAAAATAATCTTTATTCAAATAGACTTCTTAAAAGTACTTTTGAATCGAATGCTTAAGTGAAGCCTCCTAACTAAACATAGGGGGGGGATCTGGCAAGGAGCCTTCTTGCCAGATAAAACTAATATTTTTACGAGTGTACATTATGTTCTCGTATATGTATTGAGAAGCAACAGTCATTATGTCTATTTCCTTAAATTTCTCCTTTAAAGAGTTCCTAATCCTAAGATTTTAATTGATCTAATTGCTCTTTTCTGAAGCACAAAAGACGCTTGTATGTCGGCAGCATTTCCCCACAATAGGATTCCGTATGACATTACACTATGAAAGTAACTGAAGTATACTAATCTGGCAGCATCTATGTCAGTTTACCTACGTATCTTCATTATGGCATATGCTATAGAGTTAAGTCTATTCTACAATTTATCAATATGTGGGCCCCAATGTAGTTTAGAATCTAATGTTATTCCTAAAAATACTGTAGTATACACAAGGCCCATGTTCTTATCTTTTATGTCCACATTTATATCTACTTTTTTTAAATTAGGTATTACAAAATTTAGGCATTTTATTTTTCCTTCATTAAGAAGATTATTTACATTAAAATGTACTACTTATAGAATTGTTCACATCGTCATTAAGAGGCCGCCCTCTTTTAATTTTCAACAAAAGTGAAGTGTCATCCGCAAACAAAACTATTTCGTGATTATCCCTTACGAAATAAGGCAAGTCATTTATGTAAATTAAAAACAAGAAAGGACCCAGTATTGAGCCCTGCGGAAAACCCATCTTAACTTTCGGTTTAGGGGATCTTTTTCCATTGATATCAACCCTCTGCACTCTTGTCAGTCAAGTATGAGACCATAAAATCCAATGAGTTAACTCTAAATCCATAGTTTCCTAATCAATGTTTCATGAAAAACACAATCAAATGCCTTAGATAGGTCTTAGAAAACACCTAATGAATCATGTGAATCCTTCCAGGCATTAAAAATTTCTTCTATTAACTCGACACCGGTTTCGGTTGTTGAGCGACCCTTGTAAAACCAATTTGTTATCGATTCACAAGACATTGTAAAAGCATGTTTGTATTTGATTTAGCATGTTTTTTCCAAAATCTTACTAAACGAATATAGGTCTAAAGTTAGATGTGCTACCCAATTTACGTAAACGAATAATTTTACTATATTTCATAAGCTCAAGAAAAATATTAATGTATTATTGTTGATGTTAATGAAATATTACAGTCAAAACGTTTGAAACATGTAATAATTTTTCAAAATACACACAATAGAACCAGTCAAAAATTTGTATGAAAATATAACAGTCACAATTGCTGTGGAAACTTCGTTAGTCTGATGCAGATAGCCTAACAATATCTCTTTTTTAGCTGTACAAAATTGGGTGTAAATAAATTTATCAATCATCTGATAAAAGTATGCTTTCATCGATCATCTATCGAGTGTTCAAGATTGACTATCATATGTATTTGTTAGTTCTGATGTTCCGCTACCGACATGACCAACTCGTCTTTCATGACATATGCACCGACTCTAAGACAACTAATTTTCTACATCTTGCTGCAGATTACTGTAGAAATTGGGTAGCTTACTATCATCATCATTATTTAGCTTGATACAGTTTACTACTGTGCGTAAGTCTCCCTTAGAGTGCGCCACAAAACACGGTCTCCCATTGTCTTCATCCAGCTATTGCTGGTCACCTTTTTGAGTTTCTTGCCGGTGGGCGTCCAACACTAAGTTTGCCGAGACGTGGTCTCAAGAACCCGTCTTATCTTTCTGTTTTTTTTTTTTCTTTTTTCTGATGATCTTTCTGTTGCCGCTTCAACAATTTCTTCCACATTTTTCCCTTCACTGGTAAGAAATTGTGACGAAACACTTTTCATCAATAATAAAATGCAAAATTAACAAGTCAATAAGAAACTTTATCAAACTAAATTCAACTAACTATATACAAATCTAAATATATATAACTCAAAGGTGACTGACTGTCATAGTGATCTATCAACGCACAGCCCAAACCACTGAACAGATCGGGCTGAAATTTGGCATACAGGTAGATGTTTTGAGGTAGGCATTCGCTAAGAAAGGATTTTGATCAATTCTACCCCCAAGGGGATAAAATAGCGGATGAAAGTTTGTATGAAACTGTCAATTTTAAACCGATCGGGCTGAGACTTTGCATGCATTAGGCTACTATGAGGTAGGCATCCCCTAAGAAAGGATTTTGATAAATTCCACCCCTAAAGAGATAAAATAGGGGATGAAACTTAATTTCAGGTATTTTACACGATACATTGAATTTCCGTTCCATTCCGTTGAATAAATATTCGTTAGAAATGCTGCTCAAAGTTAACTTTACCACGCGGACGAAGTCGCGGGCAAAAGCTAGTGTATATAATACAACTTAAATGAATAATAATTCCGTGATGGTCCTTGCGAAGAAATATAAATACACCGGAATATTGATACTGCACGACGTTCGTGAAGTCAATACGCCGTCGAAGACACGATGAAACTTGCTGAGGTCAAGAAATCACGGAGTCCATCGAGGAAACAGAGTCGTCTCAGAGCACACGTCGGCAGTGTAGATCACGGCGTGAGAAGTTTTCACAGGTGTGTGGTCCCAGGGCATGCCAATAGGAGACAGAGCAGGCCACTAGGTGTGCGGGCCACAATATTTTCAAGTCAAAGCGGCCACTAGTGTACGGAGGCACAGCAGACCAGTAAAAAAGGAGATCACTAGCGTGTAGTGGCAGTCCAGATGACATAGGAAAAAGCTGGTAGGTCTCGACACTTCTTGACGTTGAAGTTATTGTCGGCGATGGAGATTACAGTACGTGATGGTGGCAGTACAATACGCGACGGACAGCTGTGTCACTGTTTTGGGCAACAATTCCCATAAAATATTTGAAAAACTTGGTTTTACGCTATTCAAGTCATCTGTTAAAGTTATGGTTGCAAATAAAAAATGTTGTAAATTCTACTGGGTATATGCTTTTACCCATATTATTCGATAATGTTACTCATGTTATTAAAGCCTTTGTTTTTCTTGATTTATATCCCTATCTCATTCTTGGCATTGATTTCTGGAAGAAGTTTGATCTTATGTCTAAATTATCCAAACTCACTCGCTTTCTAGCCCTCCTAATATTCGAGTTCTTTGTTTTGATAATAGCTCCAATCTTAGCTTATATATTTAATGAATGTACTGATTGTGGTATTTTTCCTGAGCTCATGAAATATAGTAAAATTATTCCTTTACATAAATCGGGTAGCACATCTGACCCTACTAACTTTAGACCTATATCCGTGCTACCTACGTTTAGTAAGATTTTTGAAAAAATCATGCTGGATCAAATACAAACGTACTTTTACAAGAATAAGCTTATGAATCGACAACAATTTGGTTTTACAAGGGGTCGCTCGACAACCGAAGCCGGTGTCGAGTTAATACAAGAAATTTTTAATGCCTGGGAGGATTCACATGATGCGTTAGGTGTTTTCTGTGACCTATCTAAGGCATTTGATTGTGTTTTTCATGAAACATTGATTAGGAAACTGCATTTTTATGGATTTAGAGATAACTCATTGGATTTTATTGTCTCATACTTGACTGACAGAGTACAGAGGGTTGATATCAATGGCAAAAGATCCCCTGGATCGAAAATTAAGATGGGCGTTCCGCAGGGCTCAATACTTGGTCCTTTCTTGTTTTTGATTTACATAAATGACTTGCCTTATTTCGTAAGGGATGATCACGAAATAGTTTTGTTTGCGGATGACACTTCACTCTTGTTTAAAATTAAAAGAGGGTTACCTCTAAATGACGATGTGAACAATTCTATCGCTAAAGTAGTACATTGGTTTAATGTAAATAATCTTCTCCTTAATGAAGGAAAAACAAAATGCTTAAAATTTGTACTACCTAATGTTAAAAAAGTAGATATAAATGTTAATGTAAAAGATAAGAACATGGGCCTTGTGGATACCACAGTATTTTTAGGAATAACATTAGATTCTAAACTACAGTGGGGCCCACATATTGATAGATTGTCGAGTAGACTTAGCTCTGCAGCATATGCCGTAATGAAGATACGTAGGTTAACTGACATAGATACTGCCAGATTAGTATACTTCAGTTACTTTCATAGTGTTATGTCATACGGTATCCTATTGTGGGGAAATGCTGCCGACATACAAACAATTTTTGTGCTTCAGAAAAGAGCAATTCGATCAATTTATAATCTTAGGATTAGGGACTCTTTAAGGGAGAAATTTAAGGAAATAGACATTATGACTGTTGCTTCTCAATACATATACGAGAACTTAATGTACGTTCGTAAAAATATTAGTTTGTTTTCTATAAAAAGTGATGTACACAATTTTAATACAAGAAATAAAAATAAATTAACGGTGCCTGTCACTAGACTGCAAAAAGTTAATAACTCTTTCAAGGGTCTTTGTGTGCGCTTCTACAATAAGGTCCCAAGCAAAATACAACAATTAGATATCATGCAGTTTAAATCTACTATTAAAAAAATACTTATTAAAAAAGCTTATTATAAGGTATCCGATTATGTAACAGATAAGAACGCTTGGACTTGAGATGATCCAGCAACTGGATAGGTGATTACTTCTAAACTCATTATCTTGTTTCCATTATTATTAAATGATTATGTTATTATTATAAGACCATAGTTTTTTTTTTATCTCTGTTTATAATGTATTGATCTGGTAATGACATGGTTTTTGTAAATGTCATTACTCATATTAGAGCTGGTGAGTTTCTTGCTCGTTCTTCTTATCAGCCAAAAGACGTCCTGAACGAGTGGTAGGGAAAAAATGTTGGACGATTCAAAAGTACTTTTAAGAAGTCTATTTGAATAAAGATTATTTTGACTTTGACTTTGACTTTGATCTTTTATCTAATGAACAGAAATCTGTCGCGTCTAATATCATTAGAAATATTAAATTTTAATACCTTAAAACATATCCAATACTTACTTATTTATATACTTTGTTTTTGTTGTTTTGATAGTGGTTGTATGAATGACAAAGTAATATAGGTATGCGGGTTTTGTAAATGTGCAATATCTGAGAATGTGGCTATACCCTGATTAAACAAGGTTTTGTTGAAAATGTTCATATTATTACGTAAGTATTCCAATCTTCAATTTTAAAAGTCGAGCGTGGGGGGGGGGGGGAAGCTGCTCTCATATTTTACCTATGGAAGTGTTAATGTAAAATGTTAACGGTTCTCTCGTTTGCGGTTTTTGTATTAACTGTCAACTTTTATAATGGCATATTTACATTACTCGATAGGGCCCGCATGCATAGTGCGAGTGATAAACTCTTTCAGTTTCGACTGAAACTGAAAGAGTTTATCACTTAATTTGTTTTAGTGTTTGACTAAACACTAAAACAAATAACGCATGTTTGCACTAGTCAGGAAACCAATAATAGTCAATAACCGTCTAATGAAAATAAGCACAAACATCGCCGCACACCGCATGCGGACCCTATCGACCAATGTAAATGAGCTCTCGACCAATGACCATGAAATTAACATGAAAATCGTCCGCAATTCGAATACGGGCACTCTCGATCAATGTAAATGAACTTGTTCTAGTCTGTAAACCGATGAGAGTCATTGACAGTTTTAATGAAAAAAAAGCACAGAAATCTTCCGTATTCGCATGCGGGCCCAATGTAAATGAACTTGCACTAGTCGATAAACCTTGGAACTTATAGATTCGTCAACGTCATGTTTTTCTGTCTGTGCGTCTGCCAGTACGTCACAGCCACTTTATTCTGAAAGTATTAGCATAGATAATATATAGTATGTCGTGTATTTAGATACCTCTTTCGGTCTGTTTTTTAATTAAGCTTAGGACTTACATATTGAGACTTTTCATGTAGATGCATTCTATTAAACACAAAGAGTTTTCGTTTCCTTATTTAAAAATATTTTATTATGGTTTTTTATTGTTGTACTTTAATATATAGGGACAATACATTAATAATAGAAGTTTTTCAGTGGCCTCCATCTAGTAATAAACAAAACGCGACTGTAATATGCAGATCTGGTTATACTATGATGCAAGCGATGCTCAAAAATGAATATACCATACTACTAAGCCGCTTTCCTCGCGATCATTTTCGGTAGCGTGACGTCACACACCCGCACAGAACACAGAAAGACGTTGGGCCTTGTGGGCGTGGCAGCGTAGCCACGCTCCTGAACAAACGTACAGGATCATGACTTCACCACACGATGTTTAGTCATTCACGAACGCGCGCGCTGTAAGTGGTACTGTGAAACACGCCACTTAAAGTGTTAAAAATGTCGGCTTGCGCGGTTGATTAATCCCAAAACAAGGAGCCAATCCTCAAGTCTGGTCCAAAGGAGGTATTTCTTTTCATTTGTAAGTAGAACACTTCTCAAATTTGTCTTTTTTTAGTCGAAATTCTTGGAATCTTATCAAAAGCAAATATTTCCAAGATAATTATACATCGCTGGTGAAGTACGCATATTTATTACATTGCGTCCTACTAAGCACGTAATGTAAAGCACAACAATCACCGCTCTAAAGAGTAACATAATAGATTGCGATAGATCGCTAGTGAAGCGCCATGGAAACATTTTATCGATTCTTTGTGTATTAGTCACTAAAAACTAAATAAAAGTAAGGACGATAAAATAGTTGTAATAAAAGTTAAATTTAATCGGAGATTAACAATAGCGATAAATAAAATGTATAAAAACCGTAAATGTATATTAACACTTCCAAAGAGGTAAATAAAAACCGTCAAGTTTGAATTTGTTGTTTTATATTTCAGTTCCTAAAGAACAAGAACAAGGTTTACGTAAAAAGTGGATTGTTGTTACTGGTCGTAAAGACTGGATATCAACTAAAATAGCAAAATTTCTTCACAACACTTAAGCGACAAAAAATTACGTCGTAAAGAAAAAAAAATTAAAAGACGGTGCTGTTTCTCATAAAAATGTTATATACACTGTATGTACTTACTTACTTTTTAATGAAATTATAATCGCTGCATAGTATATCGTGTGCCCCTTAAATATTGTTGGCCAAAGCGAAGGCTGGCTTATGTCATGTGTCATGCTCGTGCACGAGTATGCATTGCATATTAATATAATAATGAGTGTGGTGTAACGAAAGAATCTGTTTTTATATTCCTAATATGTAAAAATCGATTTTTTATTTTAAACCATTAATAACAACACTTTTTTAAATCATCGGAAATCCGTTTAGGGTAAGTTCCAATAGCATTTATTGTAGTAATTGTATTTTTTATTTTGTATACATTTATTTACATAACATTGTTTGTTAATATTACTAGTTTCACTTAAGCGGTGTTATCGATTTTATTTGCTTACTTGATACAAAATCGAGTAACGTTACGTAAAAAAATTACCTTCTAACATTATATCCAAATAAATATTTAAACACTAATTGCGACAGGCAACAGCCGAGGACGCCAAAAAAAAAAAAAATTTACTTGTTTATTGAGGAAAAGCGATTTTACAATTATAATTAAATGAATTGACTATTGCGCGATGTCGGGGAAACAAACGTGAGCGGTTCCAGAGTTCGTTGTATGTGGGGTCACGTTGCGGCGTTCCCGCGTGGAGCTGAATCGGCGCCTCGTGATAAACTTTCCGCTACTTTGCGTATATTGCTATCGAGGCCACGCAGTGTCATCGTTTGTCTGGTGTCCTCTGTATTTAACACAAGAATATTTAAACAAGACTACTTTCAATCTTGGTTCATTATTAGGAAGTGATTTAAATTACACAATTTACAAGCATGTTTTTTTATGCTTTTTTGAATATTAATAATTGAAGGAAGAAAGATTCTATCACATTTAATCAATACAATTCAATTTAAATACAAATTAATATAAAGATCGCATTACTCCAGTATCATAACAATTAATTGTCTTGTTGTTTTTTAATGTCGATAGAGTAAATCACTTTGTCCATCACTAGTGTAATATGTCAATTTAAAATGGCTTTTACAAGTTTCTTACGCAATCCAGTTGTTGAGCGTGATTTGTGATAGTTATATTGGAAAGTTCTGATAGTTATGTTGGGGGGGTGATGTTTTAAATGCAATTGTGTGCATATCTTTTGTATACTTGGTCTAATATTTCGTCCGATGTATGGCGGACGATAAGTGGGGCAAAACTGGTGACATCGGTTTTCGTACAAAGGAAGCAAGATCGCCTTTCTGACCTCTTTTCTGTGGTAGCGAAATTATTCTAGCAAGCGCAACTTCAAAGTCCCATAACTTTTTATTTATGTAAAATTTTTGTTCCTTTCATTTTAAATTAAAAAAAAAATTGCTTTCACATATATTTGCTTATAAATCTTTCCTTCGACAATTCTAATAAACCTAAAATTAACGATATCACTCATTCAATAAATGTCCCAATCGCTCACGTTACATGTCAAATAGTGGTAGCCTGAAGTTTTGCGAATATCTTTCCAATGTCAAATTGATCTTTGCAAGGAATTCGGAATTCCGATTTTATCTAGTCTGGATAAGAATGGTCTTAATTTGGTTAGTACGTACCCTATTTCGTATACGTGTTCGACTTTCTCAACTACTTGTAACAGACTGAATAAATAAATGTTTCTAATTTGTTGATAGAGGTGATACCTGTGGAGGGTGGCAACACCGGGGGCGGTAAACGTGCAGCGGTGGGCGAGGCTCGTACTCCCCGCCCCGCCGAGGCTGTGGTCGATCTCACGTCGGACTCGGAGGACGAGTTGCCACTCAAGAGGAAGGTGCCGCAGCCCAAACATACCCCGCCAGTACTACCAGAGTCCACCATCAAGACTGACGAACCGTACAACGGATCCAGTGAGTGCCATAACATTTTTTTCTTTTTGTTAAATTGTTTTAATTATAATTATTGTGATAATAATTGGTTATAGTAATAAATAAAATGCAATCAATTTGGAACACATGCAAAAATAAACCGCCAAGTACAAGCACAAGTACAAGTGGCGACAGCAGAGAGTTTTGTTGAGTTGCCAAATAACAAACATAACTTTTATAAAACAAAATATTGACGGCTAAAAGTTTGCTAAAATTGACGCAAACTCCGTTTAATTTTAACACATTTAAAGTATGTGGTACTACAATAGGAGCTTTGTAATGTGACTCCAGTCTATATTGTTTAACTGAACGCTTTGTGATTATAATAAGCGATGTCTTCACCCATATCGCCAGGATACATTTAAGTTACGTTATAAACGATAATTACGTATATTTGATAAATTTCCATTCACAACACATACATTTATGTTAAAGAAAGAATCTTAAAAATAACCATCAACATCTCGGGCACCTGGGTGTGTGATGAGACTGAAAAACCTATCAAGTGCAACTCTGACTCGCACACGAAGGGTTCCGTGCCGAAAACGAGCAAAAATATCACTTGTTGTATGGGACGCCCCTTAAATATTTATTTTATTCTATTTTTTTGTATTTGTTGTTAAAGCGGTAACAGAAATACATTATCTGTAAAGATTTCAATTGTTTACCTATCACGGTTCATGAGGACATCCTGTTGACAGACAGACAGGGAAGTTTTAGTTATAGGTTTCCATTTACCCTTACGGTATAAACCGGAATCGGACTCACGCACAAAGGGTACTTAAATATTTATTTATTATACATTTATTATTTGTTGCTATAGTGAAAATTTCAACTGTCTTAACAATCACGGTCCATGATATACAACCTGGCGATGGACAGAAATACGGACGAACGTTAGTGTAGACTTAAGTAATGGGGTTTCCGTTTTTACTCTTTGTCTACGGAAGTTTAAAAATATGACTTCTGGGCTCCGCTTCAGATGCCTCAGTTTCTAATCCAAGTCAATAGTTGAGTATATTCAACCTGAAACAGTAATGTTATACAGTGAACCCCCAGTAATCCGGCCCCTGTCTAATCCGGCGCCCCCTGTAATCCGACATGTCCGAATATTTTTTGGTAGATACGTAATGCATGATTGAACAGGTCATAATTTGTGCGCGCCACCATTATTGCGCTCGACGCGTAGGTTTGTTTGTTTATTACGTACATTTGTTTGTACACAATTATTTCCTAATGCAAATTATTATTTTTCACATTACTCACTCGCATCACTTTTACATTATATTAATACGTAAGCTCTATATTATGTTTTTTAATTTACCTACTAGATTCGATATACATAATGAAGTATGATTTGTACTTCAGAGTAATATAGATATATACATAACATATAGATCTTTATCACTGATCTGTAATGAAAAAAAAAAACTTTAGGGCGTATTTGGCAGTAGGTACTCTATAATCCGACAAATTCGATAGTCCGACACTGCCCTGCAAAACGTTTGTCGGATCACCGGGGGTCCACTGTATTAAATAGTGACGGTTGTTGTCCGTGTTCGCAGCGGAGACTGTCTCGTCGAGCGGGTACAGATCGCCGGGCGCGGGTGGCGGCGGGAGCGGGGGCGGCGGCGGTGGCGGAAGCGGAAGCGGGAGCGGGGCGGTGATATCGCTCGACAGCCCGTCGCCGCCCGCGCCCGCCTCACCGCAACCCGACCCGCTGCCAGATCACCCACACCTCTCCATCACGCCTATAGAAAGATGTTAGTACCTGTATAGTAAGATACGACTAATGTAGCCCATCTATGTACCTGCGCCGAAAAGTTTAAATGTATAAATACGCGGGAAATTCTAGCCAATTAGAAAGATTGAAGTAGCGTCCAGTCTTAAATTAAAAATTTACACCTAATGGTTGTTGAAAAAAAGAACTAGTTCTAACTTTTAATTAGTCTTGTACTGGTAGTTCCTATATTAGCTGGAACTTACTGTACACTAACTAAATCTCAATCTCTATTTGTACTTAGGATAATTGCTCAATTCTGTAGTATTGCCTTTCCAATTTTCCAAAATACTAGTCTGTATATTTTTATGTTTGATATAGGTCATGTATGAAAATTGTTTATTCTATTTCAATTAGAAAACAGTTTTCAAAATGACTATTAAAATAGTTGTGTATTTTTTTAAAAGTAAATTTCCTTGAAAGCTTGTTAATACAAGGTATTTTAGGGTATACTTTATAAAAGATATAGATGACAAAACAAATAGGTTCATCCTAACATTTGTTTTGTATAGGCACAAGTAATAACACAGAACGTGAAGAAGGCGAGGCGACACCAACACACTGGGCTCCCTACGCTGAGGCTGATAGGGACAATCAGGAATACAGGAGGTATAGTTTTTCCATGAACTTAAGTCCGTTTGCTTAACAAAGAGAATTTCGCACAATAACTTAGCATTACATATCTCTTTCACTCGCGCGTAAGCATTGCTTTTGCACTTGCATACGTATAATAATTATGCTCCTACAAATCATTACTGCGGCTGATGCTGACTCCGTACTGTTGGCAGCTCGATTTGGAGTACTACCTTAATGATTAGTGAGGTTTTTCTCAAAAACAATACTAGGGTTACCAGATTATTAGATGAAAGATCAATCAAAAGACTGGAGAAATTCCTGATTTCCATTGAAAAATACTGAGATTCTGTTTCAGTTTGAGATTTTTCTCAAATGTGATAATAAGATAAAAAAAGTCAAATTATTATCGTTTATATATCTCGCTCATTCGTTGCACATTGCAGTTGGAAAGATTATTTTTTAGTATGTTTAACTTTTTATTAAGGAGATCTTTAAATTATACCATATTTTATTAAAAATTCTGAGATTTGCAAAATCCGACCACAATCCTAAGATCTTAGGACAAATCCTGAGATATAGTAACCCTACTTGAGAAGGTCGATGGCGAAGTGGTTAGTGCAGTAGGTTTGTGATGCGGAGGTTAAGTAACTATATACTCACGTATGCGGTCAGGCAAGAAAGTTATCCATAAGTTCGGACAAAACTTTTTTCTGAAATCGATAAGATTACCTTTTTTTAAACGGAGTGAGAACAACCCCTGTTGTTCCGTTAAGCGGGAGGGTTAATACATAACGCCTTTTCTTTATTAATGGTTACAATTATTTGCAGGTACTGACTGAGGGAGAAGAGTGGCCGCCCGTCGTACGCCGGCGACCATTCTTCTGAAGAAGAACAGGAAACGTCTTATCCCGAGGTGCCCTTGCTGCCGCCTTAAGCGTACGCTGGCCTGATATCTACCAATATTGAAAATATCGCATTTTCTACACATCAGCAGTCTCGTTTCTAATTATCATTCTGTTTCTTCAATAAACTGCAGAAATAAGTGAAAGCTTTAATTAATTCCTAGGTTATCACAACCTGCGGGATGAACTGTAATGATAAATGGAGCAGTGGAATGGACTTAGCACACGTGAAGTGGACGGAATATCCGGATGACAATTTATAGTTTTCATTTAGATCTAGATGACAAATCAATGAGGAAAATGTTATTTAATATTTTTACTTTTACACCTGTAGACATGTTTCCATACTAAATCGTTACAATAATGAACACAGAATTTTATATGATTTCAAATTGACTGTTGGCAGTGCCTTTATGATTTAAATATGAATAAAGTTATTGCATATATTTTCAATTTGACAGTGTTCATTATTATCTAAATATTTATCATAAATCAGTTAATTTTAACTGTACTAAGCTCGAATTCCAATATTTCCGATTTCTACATGGAGTAAATATTAATTCAAGTAATACATGATGTGACAGTCATAGTTTTAAACATTTTTCTATGATTTCCATGTTTCTTATTTATTTATGTTAAGGTAGGGTGTAGCCAATTTGTGTAAATTGAATGAGTTTGGGAGTCCCATAAGTTTATGACAGGCAACTCCAAATATTGTATGTTCTGTGCTAAGACGTTATGAATAAGATGTAATAGAATAAATGTAAATATGCTCAGTATTTTGTTTTAATTTTTCCTGAATTACTTTTAGCTTTAGGTTTGTGAAGACGACGGTTACACTACAAGACAAAGTTGGCAGTTCCTTTGTACAATCTAGACTTAGTTTTATCCTGTAATAACTGCGTTGTCAATATTATAAATAACTGAGAAGCAGCTGTATGCGAACGACACAGGATCGATCGTGTGTTGGAGGCGTATCATAGGCCGCGTATGCTCATTAGTCGTCGTACGGCTGATTATGAAATACCATGAGTTCAATTATTATTATAGTATCCAGATCTATGTTTACTATTAGACAAGCTGTTCAGTGCAAAAAAATGTAATGCCCGTGCAAAATTTGCACAAACTAATCGCGGATATATTATTGTTTGCACTGTTTCCTTTAGTTTGGACTATCGGTAAAACGGTACGCGCACCGACACTGCATGATGTTAGATCACATTTAAATCTTTGTATACAAGAATATATGCAATTATATATTTTTTTAATACTTATGACTATGGAATAACGTTAACACAAACCCAAATTAAAAATGTTTTTGTCGAGAATTCCCAAAATTGTCGAAATCGGTTTCAACATAGGTGGAAACATTCTTGGGGCCGACAGGGTTTACTAATAATCCCAGGCCCGGATCTACGATTTATTTACTTTCTCTACCCCCTCCCCCCTACGTTCCGTCAGGCCAGATTTTATATATTTTTTTTTTATTTAGGATTTTTGAAGCATGTTCATTCCATCATAGCCTGTAATATGTATAAAGAGATTTTTAAAGCTCGTTATTTTTTAAATGTAAATAGCTATAATGATGATTTTAGCGCCCCCCTAACGCCAGCGCTCGGAGCAAGTACTGCTCCTACTTGCCCCCCCTCCCCCCAAATCCTGTTCTGAATAACCCCTTTTAATTAACACAAGTTCTGAATTGAAACTTTCAAGATACAGCATATTTCTATAAAGTCCGTCTATTTTTGACGAGAAAATCAATTCAAGGTTACTCAACTAAGTTTTATTATAATATCATTGCAACCAATTTTTTTGTAAGAAGTGACCGTCAGCCCCTTTGATTTTGAGATGAACTCTTGATCCATTCCTTTATAGATCAAGCTATTACGAAATAAATGGAAATAGCTAAGTTATATAGTTTCGGAGATAAATGACGTCTTTATGGCACTGCTGGGCAGTCCGGTTGGCAGCGCCAGCGCTAGGCCTATTCATAATGAGTTTCAAAAGGCTTCAGGCCTTCATTTTTAGTCTCAGTCTGGGATGTAACGGTGATCGTTCGCAAATGTAGTATGTATATAATTTATAGAGATAATTTAAAAATTTGTGGCGCTACTGTGCTGACGTCATTTCTGAAGCGCCACGCTATATTTTTGAAACAAGCATTTTTGAAACTCATTTGATAATCAAAGATTAAATAAATTTTAATTTTAACATTCTATAATTAATAACACATTGAAGCAAGCATCAAGATACTCACTGCAGAAACTGATTAAGCATCTAACTTTTAACAATTCGCAACGCAGATTTGAAACGCATATATGATTTTTAAAGGCAACTTCTAAAACACAAATACATGTTTCCAGCTTATTATCTCTCATTCTGACATTAACAAACACTTTTTCTGTGGTAATTTGACTGAGTGACATGCTCATTATAATGAATTTAAAATTTATCAAGAAAGCAGTAAAGCTGTGCAGCATGGCGAATGTAAGATAGTCAGCGAACGTCAATGACCTCCGCCTCTACTTAATTTTCGGTATAATTAAATTTAATGAATGAACTACGATGCTATTGCAGTGCAATAGAGCTGTAAATTTACCTACCTATTCAGTGATTGTCAGTTTCTTTCAGGATTGTATTAACGACACATGTTAGAAATGGTAGAGATCCGTACGAAGTACATATAGTTTGAAAGAAAATTATTTGATTTCAATGCATACGAACTTAATTCTAATCGATAAAAATAGTTTCTTCTCAATATTTTCAATCTATTTTTGTATTTCCGCTTATGTAGTTAGCAGACGTTTGTGGCGGAAAATGTAGCAATTAATTAGAAAAGCACTGTCAAGTCAACTGGTCCCGGTACCGAAGTCTATCTCAATACCTTTACTACAAGCAGATTTCGAATTTGATGTCTCCCGCTTCGACTTCGTGCATCTCTGTCGGTCGTGCGCTGTGCTATATATTCGTCTCGCTCGCACTTATCGAACATTGGGGACACGTAGCGTTCATTACTCGCTACAACGAACGACAGTGGAAGCGGCCGAACCGAGTTCCGCGCTCGACCGCCGTCTCGAACCGGCGGCGCTGACGTGATGTGCATCGAACTATACCGCTAATATTTCCACTGAGAAACCTCCAATGTTATTTGTTTATATTGTATAATACCGTGTAAGCATCTAAGATTCACCGTTTGTATTGAATACTGACAGTGGTGTGTACTGTACGTGTGCCTGTGAGCGTCGACGCCAAATACTATTGTGAAACGGGTCGGCCGTGTTCGTTTGTGCTGAATGGTGATTAAAAGTAATTTGCTTTTACGGTGTGAGGGTCGCCCGATGCGTATCGATCGCACGTTGAGACACAAAGCCGGTGAATTGTTGTGGCTGTATAGTAACTGATACATAATAAGGTGAGTGATCTAGTATGACAAGTTTTGGTTTTTGGGCGAACCAAACCAACCTCTTAAGCTAACTTCCATCGCTTGAAGAACACGCGGCGCTTTACAGTTCGTATCGGCCCCAGTATAAGTAGCGAGCCGTAAAGCTCTATTCAACTTTTGAGAAGCTTACTATAAACGGGCTGAGTGAAATGCTCTGTTGGTTTGATTGGGACAATTATTAAGTATATGAACTCTACTAATTTTGTATAATCTTTTTAATGCAGGGTTTCTGCAATCTTACAACAAATGCTGTGTTCCAGGTTCCTACTTCCTTATCTGATATTTGTAGGTAACCTAAAAAAATTTTCATAGAAGAAGCAATACTAAAGTTGGTTTTAGGTCTCTGTAACGATGGAATAAGGTTCTAAATGTCTATTGAAAATGAACTCTGGATCTCTCAGGTACACACATACATAGCACTAGGGCTGCCAACATTTTCAAGTGTTATTTTTTTGAAAATATATACACAAAATGCAGTCACATAAAAATAAAGTCTAGATACAAAAAGTATCATAAAAGTAGTCAACAGCATATTAGACTAAAACTGTCAAATCTTTTTAATTGAAGTTGAACCTTTAGTTTCTGTCTGTTAAGTTTCAATTACAGTCAACTGCATGTCGGGACTATACAAAGCTGTCAAGTTTTCTCACTCGATTTTAAACCTTAACAGATTGATGTTACAGGTTAATCCATTGCAGACATTTTAGACATTGTGGTAACCTGACGTGCAGCCGTGTGTACTGTAAGGTAAAGCCATTACAAACCAGGGATCCTCAAATTTTTTCGACGATGTAACCCTTATTATGGAATCAAGTATTTACATGGATCTTTAAAATAAAATAAAAAAACTTTGTAGATCAAAATTACCTATAAGCAGTTGCTAACTATTATATTTCTCTAGTCTGCTTTGTTTTCTGAAAGGAATAATAGAAAAAACACAGACAGTAATTAGTCAGTTTTAATAATTTGAATGAATTAGTTATATAGTACATACCTACCTGCGTTCGGTCCAGGTGCATTGTACCGATATTCCGGGTCGTAATTAACTATTTCGTCGTAACAAGCAGTCGTAATTTAGTATTTGGATCTATCCACGATTGAAACAAGCACCTATCTATTTAAGAAATAAACGTTTTTGTAAATATTAATTACTGTTATCCAGAACAAAAATAAAATACATAGAAATAGGTAATATGACGCGACAGTCAAATTATCTATCAAATCTATCGCCAGATAGAGTTAATAAGTGAAATATGAATTCATTTGCGTGAAGTGGCGGGTTCTACGTACTTTGCAAGAATGAGCCATTAGTGTAGTACATTAACGAAAAATATTCTTGGTATAAAACAATGAGATCCATTCGATCCGATCTTCTGTGCTTTGCGTGTATTCTACTGTATGTTCCCAAATCTAGCGGATCGTATTGTATTGCATCGATCCCTAACATCCTTAATAGTGCATTAATGGCACTGTTTTTCTTCTTTCTTTCTTTTATAATGGCTCAGCTGCGCTTTTCGCACAATCCAAAACAAACAGTAGGGATTCTGATATAGGAAACAAATTTGGAATAAGATGTAAATAAATCAATATTATCTAACGTTACCTGACACTGATTTTTTTTAGATTAGTCAATCCAAAATGACTGACATATTGTTATTCATCTTCAGCCCCTTTTTTAGTGAAAAAAATATTTTAATTAACTTAACGTAGTTGATTAACTTCATTGGTAATTAACAATTTCATTATATTTATATATACTTACATATTTTTAACGAAAAATGCTTAAAAAATTAACTTGGTCTCTAGCACCCTGAGAAAATATATTTCAGTGTAGCATTGTGTATGCGAAATTCATCAAATATAATAATTACAACAAATTCTCATCTTTATCGAAAGTTTAAATATTTGTAAAAATATTTCTTTCGGCTGTTTGGGTGTATGCCTGAACATTGATGAGAATACGCTCTGTAGTAGCGAAAAGTAACAAGTGCTTGAAAGATTCGCCAGTCCTTGTAGATCCTCGGTAGCTCAATGGATACAGCAATCGCACGGATTGCGAAAAGTCATGGGTCCGAATCACATCTTAGGGCGCCAGGGACCAAGTGGATTTTTTAAGAAATTTTCATTAAGAATATTTATCAAATATAATACTTACATATTTCTTAAAATAATAGCACCTACTCAAAAAAAATATATTCCAATAAATAATTTACTACGTTAGACAACTAATCTTCAAAATAAATAATTTCCATCGTAAATCTATGATAATTTCACTATTTCCGATGGCCCACTGCTCAATTAGATGTCTATCTCAATCATTAACATAATTGTAA